ACAAGGAAAAAAGTGTAGCCCCGTCAAGATAATTAACTTTGGCCCCAGAGAATATGCGTTTGATGAGCCATGCGCTGATAACAAGCTGAATAACGTAGACTAGAGAAGATTGCGGACGACGGCGTCACGTCGGCAAAGACGAAAGCCGCCGCCGTCCGAAGTTCGCGTTTCGCCAAGCAGTTGCAGTTGCCTCTGACGGTTTGCAGTTGTCAACGGGCGACGGAATAAGCCGTGTTCGTGGCTGGGTAAGCCGCCAGAGGCTGGTGCCGGCCATCCAGAAAGAGGGGTAACGGTCGGAAATCCCCACAATGATGGTCACTGGTTTTTGAACACAACGACGATAACTTCAATCAATTGAGCAATTGTTTTGGCCACGGCCAACGACCTATTATCGCGTATATCGCGTGTTTTTCGCTGTTGAGAGCCAAAGTCGACAGCAGTCTCCACCAGTGTCAAGTCACGCCGATACGCGCTTTCCAATTATCTTTCTCACAATCTCACAAATTCACAAAACAATATTACTGTACAAATTCCACCGTGAAACAGTCTCACTGCTTAAACCCCTTCTCCTCAACAACCTCCACAACCTCAACCCTCGCCTCCCCAACCTTGAACTCGACATTCCTCACCCGCCTCAAAATCTCCTCGATCGTCGCAGTCCTCTGCAACGGCGCTCCTGCTTCTCTGAGAATCGGCGCTCCCAGCGCTCCTGCCGTTTCCAATGGACTCAGCGTGACCGGCCGCTCAAGCTGCCACCATCCCCACATCAACCCGGAAATCATGACCAACCCGACGATCATGGACGCAATCCCACCGCCGAGATACCCAGTGTCCGTGCGGAACACCAGCGTCGGGACGGTCTTGTTTACGCTCAAAATCTGAGTTTCGCTGCCATTGCCGACTAACAATGCAGCGCGAAACATGAACTCGTACAGGCTGCCCATGGCGTACTCCTTTGGGTCCGTCCACTTCACCTGACATCGCTCCGGGACGGCCTTGTCCTGGTCGTAGAACAGATCAGCCGAGACGCCTGGGCCGCGGTAGGTCGTGGTGTCGGTCAGCGGGGAGTATCTCTTGGTCGCATTGTCCGTGATGCGTGTCAGCGCGAATGTGGCGAGGGCCGCGAGCGCACCGGACGGTGCACCGGTGTCTGCGAGGGGCGAGTCGCCGTCGTACGTATAGGTTGATAACACCTTGGGGTGGCCCTTGAGGGAGAGCGAGACGGTGTTGTTCTGTACCGTGACGGGGTATTCTACCGTCGCGGGCACGACATCACACGTCTCGTGGGTGATGGTGCCGAGACAGTCTTTGTCGACCGACGACACGTGGGTCAGCTCGACACGGAGGTAGCCTGGCTCGTTGGTGCCGTTGACGGACGGGCTGGTGGCGATGAGGAACACGGTTTGGTTGTTGGTTGACTCGTCGGCCATTGCGAGCTGAGTCTGCGTCGTCCAGCAGTTGTAGGTGAAGCCCGCGCCGGGGACAACACCGGTGCAGGTGCCTGGGCAGGAGTGGGTTGTCGTCATGGGGGTTTTGAGCCACCATTGCTGGATCAGCGGCAGGCCGCGGTCAAAGTTGACGATCATGCCCTGGTCAGCTAGGCCGAACCAGCCCTCTGGGATCCGTGAAGAGAGATCGAGACGGAGGACGTCATCCGTCGACCGAGCCTGGAGGGTCTGGTACGTTGCCCGCTGGAGGAGCGGGCCGCTGAGGAATTGCATCACGTTGGCGAGGAGAGCGAAGAGCACGACGTTGCTGGCGGGTGGTCCGGCGCGGAGAGCGGAAAACAGATTGAGGAGGCGCGCGTGGTCCCAGATGTAGTGCAGCTGGGAGAGCTTGACGCCGCGCGACGCAGACGCCCAGAAGCGCACTGCGATGGCTGTGGCGAGGGCCGAGTTGAAGATGAGATTGGATGCGGCCGAGAAGATGGCGAGAAGCACAGCCGGTTGGATCGCCCACGATGCCACGGCATCATCGTGGGATACGGTGAGAATGATGCCAGACGCTGTCACCAGGGACAGCATACCAGCGACGGCGGAGATTCCGAGCCATGGCGTTCGTCGGAGGATGGGCCTCTGCGGCTCCTCGGTGAAGATGTCATGCCTTGTTGGGTCCATCTTGATGCGAGGACGTGTTGTTTCTGGCACGGGTATTCCACCGTGTCGGTAAACATTTCTTGGGGTCGGAGATGGGGCAATGGCTCGTAAAAAATAGTCGCCTCCTCCGCACGGCGCAGGACGGTTCACGGTACGGCTATCGGGCGCTACTTGCCTTTTGCGGCACAGTTTTCTCCGAGATACCGGGTGCTTAAGCCGAGACGCCTTGGAAGGAGGATTGCATCGAAGGAACGCTCGGACTCTGTGCCTGGACGGTAAAGGGACGGCACCAGGTGTGAAGTTAATCTACAACACATGAACGCCAGGAGGGGCTGCTGTGATTGGATGCTGCGCCTCACCTCGGGCTCCCGTCTTGATTGTCGGCGGACACAAGACGAAACTAACCACCGGGAAATTCCAGGAGGAATCGGGATGATCAACTGCCGAGTTGGCAACATTTTGCGACTTCGGTGAGTTCAGATGCGAGGATTACACCTTGTCCTGGATTTTGATACAATGGTCAATATCTCTTTACTCTCCAAAGTGGCTGTGCGCGATATCTCCGCATCGAGCTGTGCCCGGTTAAAACGTGATAGCGGTTACAGGGTACTAATATCGAAGGAGGGACAGGACTTGGCATGATTGGTTTTGGGTTCTTAGCCGATGTATGTGCTCGGAATTAGGGCTGAACGGAGTGCTAACAATTGGGAAGGTGAAGATCAACGTCGATGTTGGTGATAGATGCTTGTGGAGGCTGTGTCAACATCGAGATCAGTCACGATGCTGTGCGATCACGGGTTCAGGATGGCGTGTCGGTTCCTGGACGGTATCTTTGTACTTTATAAGGAGGAAGAAAAATATCGGGGACTGCTGCCTGTTGCAGTCCGGTTCAATGTCGATCGCTTGGCTGGTCTGTTTCAACCCCCTGGGACCCTGGATCCTTGTTACGGCACAACGGAGCTTATCTTGTTCCTTGTCACAGTCGGGCTAGTATTGAACTCCGAGATGCATTCTGCAACCCTTATCACCGTGGTAGCTCTCTTCACGGGCATCTATGGTCTCTACGTTGACAAGCCCTTGGAGAAGGGGTCACAGCCAGGGGATCCCCACATCGACCCATGGAACGACGAGAGCTACTGGACGATCGGGGCCGGGAAGCCACCCGCATCCCCGTCATTTGACCCAATTTGGTGGCCAAGTGAACCAAAGAAGACAGCAGTGAGTCACCAGCGTGTGAAGAATGGATCGGCGGAGGAAAGCTGACAGGTTGTCCCCGCGAAAGACTCCATGGCGCACCGGAGATAAGTATCAGAGATGTGTCGATGATTCATTGGCAAGCGTACGTGCCCAACACCTGGTCCTCTATCCTGTAGTGCTGAAACTGACCGGCGCAGGCCGCAAAGAGTTGCGACAAGTACTACCCTCCTCCCGACGGCTCGGATATCTCAGTGAAACCGGGGAGCGGTGTGAACTGCCAGACACTATGCTGGAACTATGCGCCTTACAAATGGGGTGAGGGCGGCCAGTTTGGTGGATCGGCAGAGGGCCCGAAAGAGCCATGAGATCAGGCATGATGGGTTGGGTGTGACTGCATGTGGTAGAGCTTGGGAGTTGTACCCCTATTGTGGGTCCGATTCAGGGGTAATGAGATGTGAAAGTTTTCGTCAGTTCTCGCAAATGTAGTTGTCGAATACCGCCTGCTTTATAGTACTGCTTTGATTTCTTACTGCCGGTTGGTGGCGTGGTTTACCCCGTTTTAGGTAAATGCCTTGCATTGCGATGCGCCGTTTTCCTACAGTGGTGGGCATTAGATGACGTGCCGACGTGTTGTTGGGTAAAGTAGCGAAACACGCATTTTGCCTACTACAAAGTGCACGAAATGAAATAGCTGCCCGTGCTTGCCAGACGTAAAATGCCAAGTTGAAGTTGGTCAACGACGGGAATCGGTTGGATCTGGATGCTATGCTGCAGGCAGGCACAGTGCGGCCATGCGACTCTCGCACCTGCTGCTGCCTGTTCGACCTGCTTGCGTGGAACAATGCGTCTTTTCCTGACACAACGCATTCCATGCATTCCCAAATTTACAGAGGATCCGCAGTTGAAAGCCCCTGCAGAAGATTCATCGTGGCCGGCGCCGAACGCGCCTGGGATATTCTAGACCAAATGGAACTCTACAGTGTACGATACTGGGGCTTCGTGCTCTACCGAACAGAGTACGACCCAGCGAGCGAACAGCGTTGGGAGACACTGATAGAACGGATCAAACACTCTTCCCCCTAAGAGATCTTGGGAAGGCCCCAAAACTCACTCCCACCACGGCGTCCCTCCCGTGCCACCCAAATTCGGCGAGAACTACACGACGCGTTCGAAATTGAGTTCCGCTCCGACGCGTCACTCTATGACGGCGTAGACTTCGACACCGTTCGGAAAATCCAATAAGATGATCTAGAGAGTGAAGGCGTGGCGGTAAATGAAGATGGCGATGAAGAGTGCCTGCATTCACGCCAGACCGGCGTCTTCTAGGTAGCAGACACCGAGGTATTGACCGCAGGGCTTGATGAGGGGTGGGTCAAGGTTGTTGATGGGCACTACGTCAAGGAGGAACACAAACCCGAAGAAAATAATAAGAGAGGGTGGCGGCAAGCCTATTGGGGCTGGACGAAGATGTCGCTGGAGGCGTCGGTGAATCTGTGGCATGACTTGGAGCTTTTGGAGGATATGGAGAATATTGCGCCGCGGCGTAATGTGTTGCCGATGCAGGTGTACAGAGGGGTTCTGGGCTCCGCCTGGTCGGGGTCATGACTCGACGTTGAGGACAGGGGAGCAACCCTGCAGAGTTTTCCCACAAACTTAAAAATCTCTTCACCTGACAACTCCACAACAAGCAAGCAGAAGCTGGCACACGCCCGGCTAGCTCAATCGGTAGAGCGTGAGACTCTTAAGGAGTTCACTCCACAGTCTTCCTGCGGAGGAGTCTGTAAATCTCAAGGTTGTGGGTTCGACCCCCACGTCGGGCTCAATTCCCGTCGGAACGACAAAGCTTGCTGCCTTTTTTTTTTTTTTTTTTTGCCATCCCCCCCACTTTTCCTTCTTCCTTGTCTTTGCCTTTTCCCCTTTGAAGTTTTATAATTCGTCCGGCTTCGATTTATTGCACATGACCTTAATTATACAGTACAACCGCTGAGGCTCTCCTTTTTCAACCAAGAAGAATTTCCTTCCAAACAGGCGCTTCCAGGCTATTGAAAATGGCCTCTTTAATACAATAAAACCCATCCCCCTCCGTTCGGCTACCGCATCTTCCCACTCAAGGCACATGACATTGTATCCCCGATTTGTGACGTTCTTGTCGTTTGGGAAAAGAAATTCGTGCTCGCTGAACAAACCTTGCCAGTGGGACATCTCCACCGCTGAGAGAACAATAAACTCGAGTGGCGCTTCGTTTTCGAAGAATCGTGTATCCTCAAACCCATCCATACACAACATGCCGCATCGTCGTCCTGTACGATCAAACAAGAATCCAATTCCCAGCAGTGCATCAACATCCGAGATTTTCAACTTGATCGAGAGTGTCCAAAACCGAAGATGAATGTATTCCGGCAACCTTCTGCCTGGATCGGTGTAAGTTGGCACCTTTTCATGGGTTTCAATGCCCAAGGCGTTTCCAACGCTTGAGTCGAAGCCATCAAGCCAATAACCAAGTGGTATACGAATAGTTTCCCCCGAGGGCTCACGGGCATAGAAGACGATCCAGGTGTGATGGCCCAACCAGGGATCATGGCTTGTTACAGGGAGGGCGGGGAGCTTTTTGGTCCTACCCATCCTGTCCACGACTGGCCTCATCACGCTCAATGGCAGACAGCGCGATGTCACCACCAACCTGTGTGATGCCTTGAGGAGACTCAGGTTGCCAAGTGGCTATCGAAGGCTTTGGGTTGACGCTTTGCGCATCAACCAAGGAGATGTTATGGAGAAAGAGGCCCAAATCGGTTTAATGGGTAGGATATACTCGGAAGCGAGGGGGGTTCTGCATGTGGATCGGCGAACCAACAAAAATGACAGCATTCTGCAACGACGCGAAGGAGATTCCTTGCCACAAAGTCGCCGCCAAGGTGCTGCAGGGATGGCTGCCGCATATCTATCCTGTCATCAGTCCGTTCTTGTCCATCCAAGACGGCTTCGATGGAAAGGCTAACCCCTTGGGTCTCATGGACTTTACACCCATCTTCTACCGACTTCCATTCGCCCTACGACCTATCCCGAGCACACCGCACAACGCTTTGCTCAATGGGACGTTTCCCACTCCACAGAATGGCGATATCAGCGACGAAAGAGCGGTTATCTTTGGTCTGAACACAAACAAGAGTCTTTGTATGGACCTTGAGGAATTTTTCTAGAGGAATAAGTGGCACTAAGAGACGACAAAAGGAACACCGCCTTACTTCGACTGGGGAAACGAATTTCAAATCGCATGGTGTCTCGAGTCAAAGCTCTCGGGTGTCGACTGGCCGATTTGCGGTGCATTCCTGCTCATCAACCTGCTCGGAATTGACCTTCACTTTCACGACTTGCCATGGTTCGGGACAACGGGCTTCTCCTGCATTGAGGACACGACAGGCCAGGCTTGGAACAAGACCTGTTGTGACCTGTGTCACATCTTGAGCTCGAGCTATTGGAGTTGTGCCTGGATTCTGCAAGAAGTCGTCTTGGCTCAGAACCCGAGGATCTACTTTGGCAACCACGTGCTGCCATACAAACGACTTGCCGAGGCCCGAAGGAACTTTGAGAAGCACTTTACGACTTGCTGCAAGGGCGTTGTCTCGTCAAACCAGATCTCGACATGCGAGCCCCTGAATTGGTGGATGAGGCTACACGATGCCTTTTCTACTTGTGTCGATAAAACCAGCGAGATGTGGCTGGAGAGGCAGGATAGAGTCTCGAACAGCCATGATACGAATCTACAGAGTACCGACATCATCATGTCGCACTTTAAGCATCGCCAGGCTACCGAGCCACGGGATATCATCTTCAGCATGCTGGGCGTGGTCAACAACGAGGGAGCCGAGGCAATACCAGTAGACTACTCGGCCCCAGTTGAGGAAGTCTTCTCGCGGGCAGTGGCCAAGGGCATGAAGGAGAGACAAGACATTGATGCTTCTGGTATTTGCAGGCTACGGCCGGTCCGAGAGCCTCAAGTACAGGCTCCCTTCCTGGTGCATGGACATGACTGCCCCGCTGGAATGGGAGGGTCCAATGACGGATATGACGATCAAGTTCGACGCCTTTCCCGGTGTTACTCATGACCTCAATCTGCAAGGGGACTTTTGCCTGTCCATCGTCTCGGTCAAGATCGACACCGTCGCCAGGGTATCATCCGCAGGGAAATGCTGCGACCACAAAGAGTGGGACGACATCATGCAAAATATTCACCAGTGGTGGGAGTGCGCAGTTCTACCGAAGGATACCCAGGACCTAAAGATGAGTGATGCTGAGAAGAGTTTCTGGACCGCAATTCTTGGCGGCTGTCTCCCACCTGTAGGCTCAGCACTTCATGTGTTTCCTGAACTGTATCATCGTATCAGTGATTCGGATCTCGACATCATTCCCCAGTGGCAAGCATGGCTGCAAGACCCAAGCAGGGTGTCTGACCTCCCGCTATTGGGAAGGGAGCTCACCCAGACCCAGGGGGTGGATGCAGAGTGGCACGCCAAAGCAGAGAATTTCCTGTCTTTCAACCGGAGGCTGCACTATGCCATGATGAACAGACGGTTCTTTGCCACGGAGAAGGGAAGATTCGGCTCAGGACTAGGGAGCGAGGACGTGGCGCATTTCACGAGGGTGGAGGACGGGGATGAAGGGCATCTGGTTGCCGGGTCTTGCGTGCCTGTCATTTTGAGGCCAGTTGAGAGACCGAAAGAAGGAGGCGCAAAGTACGGGAACGATCCCGCTGCGTTTTCTGCAGATTTGAAGACATGTGTACATGATCAAGGGATGGTGTACCAGCTCGTCGGGCCTTGCGATGTCGACGGAGTCATGGATGGCGAGGCGACAAAAGAGGTCGGGTTTTTCCCGATGACGGTATATCTTCGTTGATACAACGCTGACTCCGACGGGCCGGTCTGATCGAAAACGGCAACAAGATTCATGGCCACTAAATAAAGAAGAATTGGTCCCGCAGCGAAAATTCGGCCCGTAAATGATACCTATCCAGCCGTGATTCAGCTGCCGCGTGTCCCGGTGGCAGAGCTACTATATCCCCGTGGCGCAGCAACAACTCGGTTAGGAAGCTTGGTTCGTTGTCCTGAGAGCTGCACCCGGTGAGGTATGCAGGCTAGATTAAATTCCCGATATTGCACCACCACAAACCGCCCGAGCCGGGCAATCTGGATTGCTGTTGCGATGCTACCTTGATGATGCCCTACATAAACTCGGACTGTGCCTCAGATACGCCAATGCCGAGGCCAAATCTCGGCGTCACAGTGTGTTATCCTTTGTTTCGAGTGGCCAACATGCGATTGATTTCGGTGTGGGCAATGACGTTGCTCCTGGCCGTCAGCCAGGGGTTTTCCACGGGCCGAGAGGAGCTTGATCGGTTAGAGGAGCGCGCTTCGTGCGAGTACGAGGTAGGTTTGGGTATTGAGAGTGATTTTAGAAACCCGCTGACTGTGTTGATAGCTGCAAAGAGCACGACAGGCAGTTATTAGCCTGGCTCAATGCAATCCGAATTTTCGAATGGGGATACCGAGACCGCCAAAGTTGAGTGGAGGTGGAGGATGTGTTGTGAGATTGGATTGTCCGAACTGATGTCAGACGTTCTTCGCTGTGTCTGAGAAGTAATTAGAGCCTCCTTAGAAGGGAGTTGAAGACGTGCGAAGAGGATTCAGCCGAGGTACATGCAGGGCATTTTACTCAGCTCACTTTTAGAACACCGAAGCTCCTCTTAAGTTTAACTCCTGGGACAATGTCTATCGTCGTTGCCAATCCTAATTAACACCAAGGCGGCCAATCTCTCGGCTCAGGTGCAAGCATTATCGTCTCATATCAAGGTTGACACGAACGCAACACGCCACGCAGCTCGCACTCGGTAAGTCATGCAGTGTACATTGGACGGTAGATTACCCACCTTCAGCTTGCATCTAGGTCACTCTTTTGCCTGTCTTGGCGGTTGACAGTCCATAATCAAAAGCCTGTGCGTCCCACCTGTTCCCAAGTGGCAAAGTAACAATCCGATCCTTCACTCCCTTCGTTACGCGGCACTTGTCTTTATCCTTGCAACCGCACCTCGTCCCAAGTCATCATGCGGTTACTTCTTCCTCGTCTGCAGCGTTTCACTGGTCATCGCCCAGGAGTCTGTCCAAGGCCCAAACAGCCTTGATCAATCCAATGAGATGTCGGTGGAATGTGGCGCTTATAATCTGTAGCAGACAAAGGAAGAACAGGAGGCTCATCCCCGAAAGGCGAGTCTCCGTGAGGATGTTCAAAACTCCGTGTCAACATGGAGGTGGAGTTTACACCTGATAACGATAGGGTCTAGAAGAGCAACAGACATGCGATCTGGACTCCGAGGTGGTCTTCAGAACGGGTAAAAAGAGGGAGAAGGGAAAGAGTGGCAAGAGGAGGAAGGGGAAGGGGAAGGGGAAGGGTGGCGGTAGCGGATGCAGCGTGATTTTCCGATGCTAAGCGTGTAATTGACACGATTGACGCAATGAGAGTCTTGAAAAACGGTCGCCGTCCTTGCCGTTACTTCCTCAACCCTAGTTGAAATTCCACTCAGCATGATCCGAAAAGTATCGATATCACTGAAGCTACGGCCCGCCGATAATATTGGTGGTTTCTTTTGGCTTTGGGATTTTTATTTTTCTATACTTCCTTCCTTTTATGGATGGGAGGTGTCCGGGAGCCTGTGGCGACCGCTACCCACCCGGCTCTACCCTCGTGAGTGCCCTCGTGAGCATCCCCTGCGGCGCAGCTCACCACGTCAGACTAACCCTCGGAAAGTTCCATTTTTGGCGGACTTTGC